ACTCAAGCGTAGCAACAATAGTGAGGTTGGCCCAGGATCGGGCAGTGTTTCATTCTGCTGTGCATAAGGTCGCTATGGGTCTGCACTGACTCGATGGCACCTAACAACACCAACAACAGACCCATTAATATGGGTAGGATTCCTCTACGCATCTACAGAGTATATCCTGTGCCCTGGAAAAATAAGCACTGAACCACAAGGTCAGTTTGAACTGCAAGGTCGGCAGTTCAAACACACCAGTAGCTCCTTGGAAACCCTATATAGGGTTGCTATGAGTCAGAACCAGCTTGACATCACTTAACAACAACAAGTGTTGGACAGTAGACAGATTTATGACAAAGAGCTTACTTATAATAATCAAAATGTAAAACCAAAAAAGTGAGAGACATTCTCTTACATTAAGTTCTGGATATCAATTCTCCTCCCCCTTACTCTTTGCACTGGCCTCTGTGCTGGTCCTTAAACACAACTGGTAAATTCTAAGATTTTTGAATTTCCTGGCACTGATGCTTGAAATACTCATATCTTTTCTCAAATGTCTCAGCTCTAGAGAGCATTTCTAAACACTCTTACCTAATAGAACTCTCCATGCCCAGCAACTTTTCTTTAAAATAGTTCAAGTATATTTAAAATAAATGTTCATTTTTAGTAGTTTATAGTTATGAGTTATCTTCCACTTGAGAGGGACATGAAAGCAAAACATGACCAGCTTTTTCAAGGTTGTCTTCCCTGACTAGAGCAATACCTGGAATTTAATAGATGCTCAATAAATGTCTGTTGATGGAATAACTGAATAAAAGAAGGAATTTTAGCAGTTCAAGCTCACCAGCTGCTCCTTGGAAACCCTATGCAGGGTCGTCGTGTGTCAGAAGTGACTCGATGGTACTTGACAACAACAGCAACAACAAATGAATTTGAGTAGTTCACATAGTTTAAAAAAATTACAAAAGTAATGATAGAAATGCTTTCATGCTACCTTTCATTTAAGTAACCTTAGACCATACAAGTAATACGAATAAATAAATCTTATGACTTTTTCAGGGTTTCTCTGGCCCTGCACATTTTAATTCTTTCTAAGAATAAAGCACACAATGTTAATCTACTCACACACGAGGCATTTTTTTCACACTTGTTCTTCATTATGCTTGCTCTCTTTATGTCACAAAAATGATATTAACATCATGATTTCAATTCCTCACCCAATGATAAAAAATTTCAAAGAAACATTATCTTTTAGCCTTTTTATATATTTTTTTCACCTTGGAACCATGCAGTCAGCTCTCTGAAGAGTTGTGGCATCCAGTTCAAACAGAGATGCGATGTCATTTCCATGTGGGACTGAGACCAAAGTGTACATGATCTTTTCACCTGCTTGACGTTTTTTCTTTGACGTTGGGAGGTCTCCATCTCTCTGTTGAAGAGGTATAAGAATATTCACTTTTATCAGATTTCTAATTGAACTCCATAATTAATCTAGAGATGAAATTTAAATTTGCATATGATTTCTTCATTGAATTTATAGCAGCATGTGTTCACATTATCCAGAAAGAACTACTCTGATCTGAAGCGTTTGGGGTAATTATTATCAACAGTGATAAATTACACACTCCTGCAGTGTGGTTTGATCATTAAGGCACTAATACTGATAACCGCTAAAGTCCCATCCCTTGCATTAAGTCTATTTACAGAGTAGTCATTTTAACCATTCCACATGAAAAATAAATGCATAGATAGGATTGTGTGTTGAGTTATCTAGATTTCCTCTATTAAAGAGTAAGCATGGAAGTTTGTCAAAGTTCATGCACAGACTCACAAAACATAACCAACATCAATATTTCCACTCATTTCATCAGCTGTGCCATTAAACCCAAGAACACAGTACAATTGTATAAAAGTGAAGTAAAATAAGATCTTCACAAATAGAATTCCTCATGAAAATGTGAAACTCAGGGTCTATGTATTTCAGGGAGCCATATGGCTCTGCAGGATAAGCACTGGACTGCTAACCACAAGGTTAGCTCCATGAGAGGAAGATGAGGCTTTCTGTAAAGGTATACAGCTTCAGAAACTCTATATGGTTTCACTATAAGTTGGATCTGATTTGCCGACATTTAACAACAATGTATTTTTGCTCAAATTACCCCAACTTCCAATGCTCCATGGAGAACTGATGTGTAAGGAAAAAATGTAATACAAAAATGCAAAGCTATCACCTCGGTAATTAAGTATGTAAATATTATTATTTACATACTTAATTATAAAACAAGTAACATTTGAAGAATAGAGAGTTATTGAGCCATCACAATAAAGTGAATGAAAGTGGGTAAAGCAAGGGATGCTCAAAGAAACCCAAAAATTTTTTAAATAAATAAATGAAAGCCTTTTAAAACTAATGTTTATTGAATGGTTGCTGTGAGGATGAGATATTACAACTGATCACTCCAGGACATTCCATTCCCTGCCCTCCAAGATTGTGGGTATCATTTTCCTTGGCCTAGAATACATTTGCAGTTTAATTTTTAGTCTCTTCTAACTAGTGCGTCAGTGAACTGTGAATAGGCAGAGAGAAGAGCCATGGTTCCTAAGAAAGAGCAGGACTGCTCTCTGCTAAATCCTTCATAGCCCAGCATCACCTGCTAGCTCCTGTCATCTTTGATTTATGGAGATGTCTTCTACAAGCACAGAAATTCAGAGTTAAATGATGGCAGAGGTCTGGCAAACTCTCCTGTCCTAGACTGAATTGCATCCCCCCAAAAATGTGCCAGTTTGTTTGGGCCCTGATTCTCAATGGTTTTGCAGTTATGTAATGATATAATGTGGCAGTTATCTGATGTTTCCCATGATGTGATCTGATCTGATAAACGAATATGAGGATTAAGGGTGGGATGTAACACTCTTAATCCCATCACAGCCCTAATCCTATGTAATGGGTGCCTCCCTGGGATGTGACTTCCAACACCTTTTACTTATAAGAGATAAAAGGAGAGAAAAGTGAGCAGAGATCAGAGGGACCTACCACCACCAAGACACAATAGCTGGCAGTAGATTATGTTGTTTGCACCTGGTGTTCGGCACTCTGACGCTCCTAGGTCCAGGGAAAGATTGAAACCAAGGCACAAGGAGCTCTCCAAGGTATACTGAGCCTACAAGTGCTGAAGGGAGACAAGGACTTTTCCCCACAGTTGACAAAGAGAGAAGGCCTTTCCCTATAGTCAGCACTCTGTGTTTAGACTTGTATGAACATGAGGTTGACCCTTGTTAAGTAAATTGTGCTCCTGTTTTCCATACATTCTAACTGACGCAGGTTTGATATTTACAACTATAGATCTGATATTAGCAATATTATCATGGAGTCCTGGTATGAAGCCATTGGATAAGCATCAGACCGCTAGGTTGGTTTGGACCACAGGTTTATGGTTCAAACCCACCTGCTGCTTCTCAGAAACCTTATACAGAGGCTCATTATGAGTCGAAACCCACTCGATGGCACTTAACAAGTACGTAAAAGGTTTTGCAAGCCACATATAGCCATACGTGAAAAAGCTTTTGAGTATTGTCAACGTTACTTGGATGAATTTTTCATCTTGACTTAGAAGTACAGTTTACTTCTAAAGCTAGTAGTTAACTTGTGCAGGAAGCTTCTACAGTTTGATGCTAAGATAATGAACCTCCATGTGCATTCTTTTTCTATGCTTTAAAAAAAAAAAAAAAAGAAAGAAACTTAGTTTCATTTTATTTTCATGAAATGTTTGGTTTGTCTATAAAATCTGAGGATCATTATAAACACTAAGTATTATAATGTAATGATTGAAGCTTATTTAAAAGCTTTTTATTACATCATTCTGGATAATGCTATGAAAGTGTTTTAAATAAAACTTGCATTGACCTCATGCACTCTAGGGGAGCATGGTGGCTTTGTAGGATAAGCACTGGACTGCAAATTACAAGGTCGCCAGTTCAAGTACACCAATCACTCCATGGGAGAAAAATGAGGCTTTTTGCTCTCACAAAGATTTACAGTCTTGGAAATCCTGTTCAGACTAGCAATTATTTGGAACCAACTCAACAGCGCTTAACAACAACAATAACAATGCACTCTAAAAACAATATTAGTCATTTATAGAAATAAGGCAAGGAATTTTGTAAATATGTGGCCAGTGAGATTGGGGCACAAATGGCTTAAATAGAATTTTGGAAAGGCATCAGAGTAAAGTAAGATTTTAACTAAGGAAAACAAAATCCAATCAGCTAAATTGAACCACATTTGAAGAAGGGCTTTATTAGTAAAAGACCATTCTGATGAAACCTAAATATGAATGTGAGTCAAAATTTACCCTCACTCAACTGATGACAACATTGAGCATGCACATGAAATGATTCTGTCGAATATACAGGTGACAGTGGATTACATGGAAAATCATTTGCAAATCAGCCATGGCTCTGCCTATGAAATAATCCATGACAGACTTTGGTTTCAAAAAATTTGTGTGAGATAGGTATAGAAATAACTCACAGAAGAGCATAAACAGAGGCGTTAGACATCTGCAAACAAAATTTGGACAAATACTCAAAGGAAGGTAGAAGCGTCTTTTAAAAAATTGTTACTGGTGATAGGACATGGATTCATCACTATGAGTCTGAGAGTAAACAGCAGAGTACGGAATGGAAGTGTCTTCAATAGCCAACCAAGAAAAAGTTCAAAAGTCAACCATCAGCTGGAAAATGGATGCTTACAGTTTTCCGAAATTCTCAAGGGCCAGTAATGTAACACTATCCAAGAAAAAGGTTCAACAATCAACAGTGTTTCCTCCCTCACTACAGTGAGGTGCTCACTGAAGAGCTGAAGCCTAAACTTCAAATTAAATGCAGAGGACTGCTGTCCAAAGGCATTGTGATCTTGCATGGCAATGCAAGTCCACACACCTCTGCCCACACTGTTGGCACTCTGAAAAAACTTCTTTTTGAGATGTTAAAGCATGCTCCCTATAATCCTGATCTTGTACCATTGGACTTTCACCTGTTTGGTCCCCTGAAAGCAGCCCTTGGAGGATGAAGATTCACCTCTGATGAAGAAGTGAAGACAGCAGTGCATTTGTGGCTCGCAATTCAACCTAAAACATTTTTTTATTAGGGAATATGCAAGCTTGTTGACAGATGGACAAAGTGTTGAAAAGCAAGGAGATTGTGTCAAAAAAATGATATATTTGTCTTTTCTAAAAGTTGATTTAAATAAATTCTAGAGCCAGACAGAGTGTGGATAATTTTTGACTCACCCTCATAAATGCTGGGAATCAATTAACAAGAACTCGACAATCTCTCTCAACATTACCCAGAATAGACAGTACCTAATACAGTGAAGGAGTATTCCAGGGTTCCTGGAAGAATACCCTATCTCTAAAAGAAATATGAGTCATCTTTCTTTTATTCATCAATTTTCCAAGCATCCTGCACAGCAGTATTCTGATTATAATTTAGCTTTTGACATAGATTTTTATCCAAGGATAATGAACTGACAAACTGACCCAACTATTCAGGTCTACTAGCAAATGGAAGTTGTCATTGTGGTTTGTACATCAATTACTTGTGAGTTCATTATGCAGGAGTCAATCCTCCTGCAAACACTCCCTTTTGGGGATGCTAAAATGACTTTTCTAGACTTTTAAAGAGAGACAAGATCTATGTTCCTAGAAACTGCTATCTTACCTCACACCCCTTGGTATGTCTGGAGTTGTAGGATAATAAGAGAGTCAGGGTCCTCTCTACTTTGATGCTGTGGACCTATAACAATGAGAATTTTCCTAAACATACAAAAATCTCACTATTGAAGGCTTATTAAAAGATGTCTCTCTGAATTATTCATGCTATATAAGATCTGTGGTTTTATTTTCATTATTCAGGGTAAGTGAAATGTGCTAACATAATCCTAAGTAATTTTCCTAGGTCTTCAGGCAACAGCATTAATGTGTAGCTAAATTCCATTCATAAACAGCATAACAGTTGTTTGTGTGTGAATCTAAACTTTGAACATGTTTAGAAGGATTTAAAAACAATGTTGTAGCCTTAAACATCTTGTTTCTAATCTCTTGTACTTTTAATTTTCTTAACAAACTCTCCCTCTTAAACAGTTTGACAGTAAATTTCAAGCCAGCCACCAGGAAATTTTAAATTAATGAAATAAAAAATGTAAAATTTTTAAATGTATAACTCAAGCTTCAGCATAGAAGAAAATCAATACTGTGTCTTCATAACATGAAGACAGTCCAGTTCAAAATCATGTGCGTATGGCTTTTTTATTTCTAAGCCCACATCTCTTTGTAAGTAAGAAAAATGACACAGAAACACTGGTTCCTGTAACAGATTTATAAAAGCACAATGGATCGTGACAATACATGAAGGTACGGAATCGATTCA